CGACAATGCCGACAATGCCGACAATGCCGACAATGCCGACAATGCCGGGGCGGAGCTATGCTGGAGGGAGGAGCCTCGTGAGGGGAGGGTCAGGAGACTTGCTTTTACCTTGTTGGTGAGTAGGTGGCATACTTGAGGCACATAATCAATGAGACATCCTCCTCCTGGAAAAGCTGGGATATGAAGAGCTGAGGAGCCTCCAAGTGCACTGAAAGGACAAGAGTACAAGGGACACTTCTCTTAGGGCTCCAGCAATGCAGGAAGTGATAACCCCAAACAGACTCGCCTTCTCTTAACGTCTGCCCACCAACCACTTGAGTTAATGAGGATGGGAACACGGGCTTCACTTTATGATTACATTTCTTTATTTTTATCTGTTTTGTTAAATCAGCATGTTCAGATTGCCCATGACTACCAACTAATGATCAGTAAAAACTAATGATTCCATCACACAACAGGACAAATTAGCACATTCTGACTGGTGTGGGTAAATGTCTTACCAATATTAATGGGCTGGACTTCGGATGGACACACACATTTCCATACTCTCCATTATGTGATGGGCAAAGACAAGTCACTCCTTAAACCCCCATATTGAACTGAATTCCTTCAGCACCACCAGGGCGCAATGGAGGGACTGGCTCTGCCCCTTACCAGCTTTATTCCCCCGGGGGGAAGCCTCCTGGGGCTTTAGCCTCCTCCAGCTTAGTGTGGGGCCAGTGGTCTAGGACAGGGGCTGCAGACTCCAGGCTCTACCCAGCCCAGGGAGGTGATACAAATGAGCACAGAGAACTGGAGAGTTTCTGCACAGTGGGAAGGGCTCTCCACCATTCAACTCCAGCTGATCTCGGCCATGGTGGAAACAAGCCTGGTCTTCATGGACCCTTATTTTTCACGTGAAGCCAGAAATCCAGATGATTTAAGTTCTCAAGTTTTAAATGGTGGCAACTAACTAAACATCTTCTGAAACACTGTGTCTCTGGGTCAATCTGGGTAAAGTCTGTAACTAGTCCAAGTCAACACTGACATTCATCTAAACAAGAAGGTGCAGTCAAAAATCACTGATCCAAGCACTAAGACGCAACGCTGATCCAGAAATAGTTTCCAGGACTTTTGTGGAGATTCCCTTTCAGTTTAAATCAACCAGCATACCATTATTAAAGAAACTGCTCAGAACCTCACAGTATACATTTTGTATCCCATCCTTAATCTTGATTTCATCTTCTTTCCTACTCTCACTTTGCTTTGGTCCTAATTTGCTTTTCTTGTTTGAAGTTTATTTTAATGTATAGGTTTCTTACCGTAAAAGCCCCTTAAACCACCTCTGTAATATGGTGGGGTATAAAGAGACCCCTAAGATCCGTTAATGCTGTGATTATTCATTAACCAAATCCCCAGTTACAAGGCTGTAAATGGAAGCAAAGTGCTTCACAATAACAGTCTAGAAAATCATTCTTAAATAGTTTAGAGCAGACAGACTTAGCCTAGGGTTTGCAATACAGGGAACAATACATGTAAGTACTGAAAGGGTCCCAGACCCAACCTGTCTCCCTATTGACCACAGATTCCTGAAATTAATTTTTCCAGTAGAAATGGATATTATGTTTATTTATTTATGGAATGAAAAAGCCCCAACACGTAAATAAAATCCCGGGTGATGTGAGGAAGTCAACAGGGTGGGAATATTTGCTGTTGACTTTTTCTATTCAGATGAGACCTAAAAAGCACAACAACTCTGACAACTGAGAAAATTATGAGACAGCATTTGACTAAGTATGACATTAATGAATCATCTACAGTCTGCAACTGCAGAGAATCAGCAAGAACATCACTTCCGTTTGCTACTCTCAGAGCAGACATTGGAGGAGATTCAGCCTAAACTCTGAAGGAAGCTAGGAAAATTCCTATGACTTCTTGTGAACTGGAAGAGTACACAAAGAGCACACTTCTAAGTGGAAGGTTCTAACAGTTCCATTAGGATGGAAACTGATTAAGAAGAAAATTCTACAGTATAAGAGAAAGAGATCCAATATTTTTATCTTATCATTCCTGGGGGGGAAATATCTGTATAACATAGAAATACCAAGATCCAGGCTTCTCATAGCGTACTTGAAGAACAATCTTTAGCATAATGAAATTCCAGAAAATAAAATAATTTGGACAGTTTCCTGGAATTGATTACAATGGGCTTCGACCTGTATACAATACTACAGGACAAGTTCTTAATCATTCATTAAATTGAGTACAAAAAAATGAAAACAGTCTGGGGGTAATCCTCTAAACTTGAGACTCCCTCTGCTTCTGACACATAGCCATTAAACAAAAATTGCCTATAATGATGGAAAGAGGCAAAGGTGTGGAGAAGTCCAAAGACTGGCTGCTTGGCCACCGGGCCCATCTCTCTGCACTCTGCTTCTGTGGTTATCGGGAACTAATGCTTGTTACTAGGTGCTTTCTCATTACCTAATTTAATCCTCCCCACAATTCCGTGAAGTAAGAATTCGCACTGTAATTCTACAGGTGAAGAAACTGAGGCTCAGACAGCAGAAGAAATTCCCTTGGGTTCACACAACTAGGAGATGGTAAAGCAAAGATCTGAACTCGGGCTGGCCTGTTGCTGGAGTCCACGCTGTTACTTGCCGGATTCCGTGCCTCCCTGAGAGCAGGGGGATGTGACTCTTGAAACGGCTCCAGGGATGGGAAGAAACAGAGGGCGTGGCCCCCTGTGAGCCAGGTCGGGACTGCAGTGATGCCATCGGGCTTCCAGAAGCACCCAGACCACCACTGAAGCAGACTCTGTGATGTACACCTCGTTTCTCTTTACAATTTTCCGCCCCGCAGCAGAGCAAGCATCCCCATGCATTTTGCTCCTACCTCAGTCTCTCCCACCCCAACCATCAAACAACCACAGTCGCTGGATTTATTTTTAAAAGGACACTTACTGCACCCTTTCTTTAACTCAGTAGTTCCTCAGCTTGTGAGGGTACTGAACCTGACTGCCAGCATCATATACTGATAAGCGCTGCTGATTCATGTATAAATATCCGCCTTGTGGGTAAATATTTAACAGGCCTGCTATAGCCTGAATGCTGCCCTGATTGTGCTGAATAAACAAAGTCAAGTGCCATGAAATAAAAAGCTATTACGTTTTTAAAGGGTACAGGACGGAGGTCCAGCCGGGTGAGCTCTAATTATTTAATATTCATGAATCAAAAACTACTGAGTGGAGCACATACAACGAAAAGCTCAGCATGTGCAGAGATTGCAGGACTCCCTGAGCGCTTCCCAGGGGTGCAGGGCTGGCTGGAGAGAAGGCAGGGCTGGACTGACAAGCTCCATGGTGGCGGGGAGGGGCAGGGGGGAGCAGGGCGAGCAGGGGATGGAAGGGACCACTGCTGTGGATTCTTCTGATCTCCAGACCCGTGAGGGGAGGAAGCAGGGTAAAAAGTGAGGAAAAGTCAACTAGAGCGGCGGGGGTCTCAGGCTGAGATTGGGAGGACAAAGGGGTGAAGGGGCCGTTTTGATGAGAAAGTACCTTACGTCTCTTTATGGACTGAAATGAGATGTGAAATTCGCTGCTAATTCTCAGACCTAGGAATTCAGAAACTGAATATGTGGATATAAATTAGAAGGACAAGGCCAGAGTCTGAGAAACCTTTCCAACAATGGAGTTAAATAGACCAAATAGTAGCCAGAAAAACACTTCCAGGTCCGTCTCACTGGATCTAAAAATCAAACATAAAGAATTGTCTGTGTTCACTGTATTGATGCGATTGTTTTCTATGCAAATACTGCTAATAGAGCCTTTTGGGAATGGGGCTCTGTCTGCAAATATTCAGAGCACTTGTAATATCGAAGACTTGACTTGGCTACGGTGCTACAGCACAAGGGAAATATTTTTGAGCATTTTGACATGGAAACCGCAGGGAGTCGGCCTGTCTGAAGATCGCACTTGGGACAATGGGGTTTGATTTAACCCATTATGGAGCGGTAACTCCCTCCTCTCCGTGTGGGGTTTTACCTCATTGGCCAAATAAAATGAGCAAAACATGACCTCGCACTGGAGAAAATCAGAAGGGCCAGTGATTTTCAATTATAATTCTTGCTTCCGCCACATTTGTTCTGTTTGGTTCTACTCAATTTTCTCATCAGTGCCGTGGGATAACACTATTCTCAAAAAGACCCACCTCTCTCAAGTGATAAAGCAACAATGAGAATTAGAGTAATATGAAGAGAGCACCAAGCACTCTACGAGTGACTTTATTCTAAAATGTCTCCTGCTTGTGTACGCTATGGTCCAGGGTTATGTCAAGGCCCTGTTAGAGACACTTGGATCAGCGTTACCATCCTGCTCTGCCTCCGAATCGGGTTCTGAGGGAGAGGAAGATGATCTGGTTGTCTCCTCCACAGGATGATTCAGGGGAGTGTTGGAGGGTGAAGCACTGACAGGGGGAACTTCCAGGATGGTAGATGGACTCAAGCTGCCATGAGCCCCCAAGCTAAGACACATCCTAAGGAAAGGTGAACTCTCAATTGAACTCAACAAACATTCACTGTGTGCCCAACTCTGTGTAAGGACTTCAGTTTCCTGTTCTGGATCTGTATTAGGGCACTACTGCTAATTCCCTTCAAGGTAGAGGAATGCCAAGCCCTCAGGAATCTGGGGCACTCTATAATGCCAAAGTATGTTTCCTGGTGGCCTGCCAGGAGACCCATTATAGCAAAACACAAGTCACTGTGATTTACTGAGCATCTGCTTTAGCCAGGCACTCTACTAGGCATTTCATTATCTCTAAACCTCATTAACAACCTGGCCAAGTAGACCTAAGTAGTCCAATTTACAGAAGGGGTCACTGAGATTCTAAGGATCCAAGTGTTTTTCCAAGGTCACCCAGCAATTAAGCTGCAGAGATGGGCTCAAAACCCGGTCTTCTTGGTTCCAAGGTCTACATCCTTTTTCGTCAGAAAGTCTTTCGTAGAAAGAGAGTGTGAAAAATTTAAAACTCTACCCCCCATGTCCTGAAACAGTGGTTTAAGTGGCTGAAATTATCCTCAAAAAAGCTTAGATCCATGAAACTCAGCACTGTGTCATCTCATTTGTTCTTGTCTTAAGATATCATATGTTACAACAAGTTAACTTGTAGGACAGAGAAAAAAAGTCCTATCTAGCCTCTGAAAACCCAGAAGTGCACAGACAATACATTAAGG